AGATTACTTACAACAGAACAGCAATGCATTTTATGGACGACCGTTTCGTGAACCTAGGAGAGGAGGTATTTCTGACTTTGATGACAATCTGGCGCTTCTGAATCAGCTACTGTTTTGTTATTAGTTTAAGTATTTGCTATTGACTGTTCAAATGTGGAGTTTTGCGCATTGTGTGTGTGCGTGCGTGCGTGCGTGAGAGAGAGAGAGAGAGCGAGAGAGAGAGAGAGCGAGACACATCACAGTGGAGTCAGCTGTCTTAACCGTGTCTTGTGTACTGCAAACACATATTCATCACTGTGTCTGTCACGAGGCTCTGTTCCCCTTTCGGGCTCTGTCTTTACATTTATTTTGAAAGATGAAGCTCGCGATTATGGTAAGGGACATTACATTTCCGACGAGTGCTTGCGGTGTTCGGCCAATCACAATGCACTGGGTCAGCTCGGAAGGAGGGACTTTGTAGAAAACGAAGCGTTTGAGAGAGGTGGGGCATATTGGACCTACAATAATGTACAGTATTTGAAAAAGAATGTGTTTTTGAACATTAAAGCATGTCAACATATTCTGTTACACCAAATACACAAAATAATGATCTTTAAAAAAGCATCATATGACCCCTTTAATTCAGTTTAACGTGTGTGTGTGTGTGTGTGTGTGTGTTGCAGAGAGGAGAACATGTCTTCAAGTTGTGTTCATAAAAAAACACATACAGGTTTGGAATGACATGAGGGTGAGTAAATGATGATATATTTTTAATTTTGGGTGAACTATCCCTTTAAACAGAGAAAATCTTCCTTGCAACAACATTTTAGCTCTGTTTTAGCTCTTAATGCTGGCACTTATAAAGTAGATGCATGTGAGATCTCACTTGAGCTTTGCAGATGTCTTTATGGATACAGTGTAAGGTGTTAACACAGAGCCAGCTCACAGGTGTTTGGCCAAGACCTCGGTATTTAAAAATTCCTCAAAAATGGAACGGAAAGTCTAAAATATCAGGCACTGTTTTCATTTTGTAAACCTGTAAAAGCAGGATAAAGACCTAACCCACCGAGCTCAGTCCAGTATTTCACCCTGAACAAACGGAGGTCAGCTCAGCGTGATAACATGCCTGCCACTTTCCCAGAGTTTCTACACTGACTTCTGAGCAGCTGCCACGTGGCAGGCAAATCTGTCTTTAGTAGGTAAGGATAAAAGAAAGCTACAATGTGAATGTCAAGCACATATCAGGTATAGTGGGGCTCAAAAGCCTGAGTGAACGTGTTTGTGTTCTAATTTAATACGTAAAAAAAATGTATTTATGTATTTCAGTGACCTAGAAATAGAGTCAAAAACATAATAAAAATGTATCATCATAAATATATAATGAACGGCAGAGTATATATTTTTAATAAATGCTGTCCTTTTGAACTTTTTAATCACCAAAGAATCCCGAAAAAAGTACCACAGGTTCCAAAAAAATATTAAGCAGCACAACTGTTTCCAACATCGGAAAAAAGGCTTAATTAAGTTTATTGTGTGGGTTTAACGTTTAATTAGGGTATAATCGTGGTCATTTCCAGTAAATCAACAGCCATTTAAAATGTGCAAGTGTTCCCCTCTGTCTCATGATGCCAGGATTTTAAAGTTAAAGCCTTTGACTAAGCTAAAGCCTATATTGACCCATAATCTGTACATGGATGTCATGTGATTGTAAAGGCCCAAGGTCAGTATATTGTCTCACATTTCTCTAGATCTAGATCATTAAAGCCTCCTTAAGCCAGATAGGCAATGCTTTAGGAAGGGCTTCACTAGGGTTGGCCTCTGGGCTCTCTCCAGCAACCTGACAGCCCTACTCCACTCTCTCTAATACGTGCTAATTGCATTCCCTCTTACTCACTCGATGGGAAGAATGCATGTTATTTCTGCACCAGGGCCCATCAGCAGATTCCAGTAAAAACATGGCTGGTTGAGTCAGAAAGTTGCAGGGAAGGTACACTATGAAGCAATTTCTTGTTGACTTTTTGTATGACTTTTCTTTCTTTTTTTTGGAGCATAAACATAGATATTTTAAAGTCCCCTTTGACTTCCACAATATGGTCAAAAAATAAAAATAAAATAATAATAATAATAATAATATGCAACTGTTTGAACATCCTTCAAAATATATTATTTTGTGTTCAGAAGACGACATAAATTCATATATGTTTGGAACAACTTGATGACAGTAAATGATGACAGATTTTTTTTTTTTGGGGTGAACTACAACTTAAAAAAAAAATAATAATAAAATAAAATTACACCTACACTACATTTATCAGATCCAGGTTGCTATTAATCGATTTTCAGTTCATATGGGCTTTCATTTCTAGTGTGTTTTTCTCACAAAACTTTCATATGACTTCAGTACTGTATTGTTCATTTTCATTATATTGTAAAAAGCAGCATGAACATTCTGCTTAATTAATATTATTATTATAAACAGTTTAAAGTATTAAAGTTCAAATCCACATATCTAAAAATTATTATTTTAATATACTGCATGCAAGATCTGAATGTGTTGTCAATGCTTTCAACATTTCAACAAACGGTGTATATCAAATTGCAGTTTATGTATTCGTATTACTATTACTTCAAAGTCACATAATTTGAATTGACTTTCAGTGCAAGTACGTCTATTCATGTTTGTTGAACCAGGGCAATTGAACTTCACAGCAGAGGGATTTTCCAGTTATTTAACACATCTGGCTTACCTGACTCCTCTGTGCTTTTTTTCAGAGGCTGGATTTACAGTAAAAGGTTTAAAGATCAAATTTAGATCAATGGGTAATTACCCAAAATGATGCCTTTGTTGAAGGTAGGCTTATCTGGTGAAGGAATATCATCACAATCTTTTGTGATGTTAAGGTTTACCAACATTACCATGTTATCATGGCTCTACGGAGAAATAACAGTTGACAAAGGGGAAACATTTATCAGACTGAATCCCATTGGAGCACAAGGGATTTGACTATAGGATGTTCAGAATTAGGTCAGTCAGTCATGTGGTCTTCACTAACTCCATACTCACAGGACAATATACAGCAGAGATGATTGGTGTTTGTCTTGCTATTTTGATGGCTTAGCAGATACTAGAATACTTGAAACTGTATGAAATTGAGTTGATGAATTTTCTTTGAGATTCAAGCTAGTTCTTTATCTTCCTAGTGCAATGTTTAGTAATTTATGAGGGGTAACTTTTTTTTTTTTTTTTTTACAAATCATTGTCCACTGTACACTTTAGAGTGTATTTGTAATATTCAAGTAAATGTAATCATATTAACACCAGTGTGACAGTAACAGCTAAAGCTGCCTCACTCTTCACATAACAGCAGCTCCCAGTTGTATTATTTACAATTCTGTTGTTAGCTAGCTAACTACATAGCTATATTTGATATTTAATTAATTTACACACCCACTGTCACAGATATGGACTTCATAAGTCAGTGTATTGTGAACTGTTGATGTTCCCATTTGGCCAGACACAAGCTTTTTCTTTTTGTATTACTTTTCCACTAATGTGTTTTTGCCTCACTAGTTTGTATTTTCTTGTTGCAAAATAATATATTTGTGCTTTATTCATGAGGAAAGATTAAAAAAAATTTTTTTTTAAAGAAGTCTTTTATGTTCACCGAGGCTGCATTTATTCGATCAAAAATAAAACAGTAATATTGTGAAATATTATTACATTTTAAAATAACACATTTTTTATTTCAGTATATTTTTAAATGTAATTTATGACTGTGGTGACAAAGCTACATTTTTAGCCATCGTTACACAAGTCGTCAGTGTCACATGATCCTTCAGAAATCATTCAGATATGCTTACTAATTAGTGTTAAAACCCTGATACATTTTTTCAGGATTTTTTGATGAACAGGAAGTTCAAATAAAGAGCATTTTTAAAAATGTTTGTCTAACAGCGTAAAAGCCAATACAAATTTGCCATTGATTGGACAATCTTATATGTATGTGCAATGTTGTGTCAGTATTAAAGATATGACACACTTCACCTTTAATGATGCCTTAGTTATAGACATTGCAAAGCAAATTTTCATGACGTTGTTGGCCAAATATTCGCCAAACAATTGAAGGGTGGTCCCCACCAGTGATAAAAAGCCACACTTTTGTTTTCTAACAACAGAAGTCAACGTTAACTCTTATTCTGGAAACTGTAATATAATTACTGTATAATTACTAATTTTGGTGTCTTGATTAAGTTTCTAGTTTCTAATTTTTTCTTATTTTGTCTACCATGGTTTGGCTCTCATCATCTGCTGATTTGTCAACAGGATGTGGGAGGGTTTGTCATTTAAAAAACGAATAAAACTGTTTTGTCAACTTTATATCTTTCATAAGAATCGAGATGAGTGCATAGCGTTGTGGTAAACTCAAAGAATAAAAGGATTTCTAGTAATAAATGCCAAATACAGCTACTTGACATTTAAACCGACTCCCACAGTAAAAGAGTATTGTGTCTATGGCCAATACGGTGCCGTATTTTGTACTTAGTGGTCCAGCACACAAACTTTCCTCAATAGCAATTTGTCGAAATGAAACGCAAGTTTCATATTTTATTTTAGGTGAGTCTTGCTAAATTACAGAGTGGTCACTGGTGCCGAAACAAAAATGCTGCTTTTTTGTGGTAGCTGCTTTTTCTCAAACCTATGGTGAAATGCATTGCAGTTTTATCTAATCTCGGATCTCTGCGTGCTTTCTCCAATCATCTAAGTGAGTGATTTGTAGATACGCCAGTTCATTCAACTTCCCATGAAAATGTTTACTGAGCCATTGCAAATCTTTGTTAGGTGAGTGAGCTTTATTTAAAACGTGGAAAAAATGGTCCTGAAACTTCTGAAGGAATGTGTTTGCGGATATATAGTCCATGGATGACTTACATTTTGTAAAAATGGAACATGATAATCTTTTGCACTGGTTATCAAATGAGAAAGTACGGCAATTTACATACATTGTGACTACAATAATCATCGATAATGTTTCTCAAATCTGAAATCAAAACAAAACCATAGTCTGAATGCCTGCTTTAACGTCCCTGAATGCTGAGTACATTGTTTTCATAGCATGGATTTGTAGGAATCACAGAGCTGAAGCTCTTCTTAGGAGAGAGGATTAGAGGAAAAATGCAATGGCATTCCAGAGGCGTTACCGTAGAAACCGAGTTGGCCAATGTAATGGGTCAGTAGCTTCTGGACAGGTGATGTGCTCACCCAGCAGAGAGGGCCATAGAAACTCCGAATCCCAAAGCACACCTAGCACTAACAATGGGGCGCAAACAAATTCAAGCTTTTACCACAAGATACATCCCCCCCGGGGTGAAGGACTCAGCATCATAGTGAAATTTAATAATGCAATGCAGCGTTTGATTTGACGGATGTACCTCCTATTGTTCTCTGTTTCTTTGACTACTTTTCTTTTTGTCGAATGATCTTGGAAATGTTTTACCATGCCTTCATTATATATTTTGTTTCTTTTCAGATGCCTTTTATGTTTTGATTTTATTTTTGTACTGTTTCTTTCTTTCTTTCTTTCTTTCTTTCTTGTTGCTGTTCTTAATTCATTTAACATTTTCTTTTTTATAATATTTTATTCTTGTCACAAATTCAGACTTTCTGTCTTAAAATATGAAAATCCATCAACTTTGTATATTTCTATAAAATGTAAATTATTTACATTTTTGTACTATGATAATCTAAGCAAGAGTTACATTAATCATAAACCATTTAACTTTTTATTGTGTGAATTATTTATTGTGATTTTTATTTATTTTTTCTGCAGTGTCAGCATGCTGAAATATGAGACATGTTGTATGAAGAAAGTAGAAAAATCAAGGTAAATATGGCTTATGAACAGAATATTTTGTTGTGCATTATTTCAAATCATTGTCATTTTATCAAATTATGAAAAAGTGTGAAAATATTATTTAAACGTCTGAGAGATGATGCCTTGGTAACTCGACATAAACGGACATAAAAAGTTTATAGTATACTTTATTTCTGTTCATTTTTATTTTATTTCAAGTAACGGAAATATTTTTAAAATGGTTTTAATTTTAGTTTCTCTTTTAATTTTAGTTAATTATAATAACCCTTATGTTAACCATGAAATTAGACCAGTGGAGTCTACCATTTTATTATGAAAATGTTTAAAATGTACTTTCCACCACATATCAAATATAGTAAATAATTACATGAAATATAGTGGAATGGTATTTGTTAGTTCAGAAAAACTGTAAAAATGACAGAATTTTCTTGTGATGGTTTATTGGCATGCAAATTAAATAAACTAATGAGAGAGGGTAAAAAGTTTTCTGAAAATCCACAGGGCCAATTTTGAGGGAACACCTAGCCAGTTTTCACTGAACAAGAGAAAATCTCAAAGAGAATAATCTGGGACGGCTGTAGGAGGGTGAAAATAAAAGTGGGGGCAGTAGTTTTCACACTCTGTCCGTCCTGGGAATTAATATGGATTGGTGATTCCCAGTATTGTGTGCCCCTCCGGAGCTGGAAGATTAAAAGTCTCCTGCTCATTCAGCTACTGCTCAGGAATCGAGAATAAACACAGTAGCACACAGAGTCAAGAAGAGCAGTGATTACTCTTTTATGGGAACTCGACTCTTCAACCTTTTGTTCTCACAATGAAAATCTGCCCCCCAAGGTCTGTACCTGGGGGCCTGGAAGACGGAGGGAGGTACCTGGAAAAAACAGTGTATCTTGGCAAGCAAAACAATAACGGGAAGTCCAATGAGGTTGTCCCTATGCAGGGTCTTTTTCACAGTGCTAAAGACGAGGGCAAATAACAGAGGGAGAAAATTAACTTTCTCATCCTTCCTGGTGACAGTTTCATATACATGCTAGATTGATTTGACTGAATACGATTCTTAACAGTGAGGGCAAAAGATACAATGCTCGTTTACTGGAATTTGCAGAAGGGCCGACCGCTCATAGGAAGCCATTGAGGATGTTTCGACAGCCACTGGAGTCTGATTCACTATTTCCACATGGTCAATTGCTTAGGTGGGAACATAGAAAGCATAAATTTGTGTTCCTAAGTACCTTGGCATCAGCAATAATGGCCCTTGTCTCATTGCCGGTGATTTGTTTCGTGTTTCAAGGATAGCTAAATTGATATACTTGAAGATCAAAGGTTGAACGGAGGTGTAATGCTCATGCTCTGTTTACGAAAGCCATTTTTTGCAGGGACTCATCACAAATGTGGCAGTTTTCTTCTAAGTTCACACAGGTGTAATTCATTCCATGCTCAGCTAAGGACATTCTCCACAAACATTTAAACAGAATTTTTTTTTGTGTGTGCTTATGCCATGTCGTTGTTCAGATAAATGTCACATGATTTAATATTTTGTAATGCAATCAAACTCATACACTACAATCCGATTGCTTGGGTCAGTAAGATTTTTGAAATAAGTCTCTTATGCTCACCGAGGCTGCATTTATTTAATCAAAAATACAGTAAAACATTAATATTGTAAATATTATTAGAATTTGTATTTATTCCTGTGATGCGCAGCTGAATTTTCAGCATCATTACTCCAGTCTTCAGTGTCACATGATCCTTCAGAATCATTCTAATATTCTGATTTGGTGCTCAAGAAACAGTTGTGCTGCATAACATTTCTGTGGAAACTGATACATGATGAGTTTTTTTTGTCAATAGAAATGGTCACTTTTGATCATTTGAATTTGAATTTCTTTCTTTCTTTAATCTAACTAGGTAGTGTATGTTTAATATGCTTTAATATCTTTAATATCATCTTATGCTCTTTTCTTTGTGCCAGGGTTGACTGCAGTGGCCTTCAGAATGGGCACAGCTTTTTTGAAGGGATTTAGAGTGAATCGCAGGTGTCGTGGCCCTGTGGGCTCTGGTACTATTGTGAGAGGAACAATGGCACAGAAAGCTTGGGAACCGCTGCTTTGCTTTGTTCTCGGCTATTGTCTGTTCCCAGGATGTCCTTCAGCATATTGACAAAAAAGGTCAAGCAACTGACACACTACATTACCTTCACTAGACGATGAAATGATTGGCAGGGGAAGACAAAAGAAAAGCTCGATTCTTTAATGTTGCACCGTCAAGGTTTATGAATGTAGGTTTCAAGTTTTATTTCTGAGATTATGATTCTCTGATGTTAAAAGTGCACTGACTTTGTCACTGCTATGTTGTTGTTAGGTGTTAAACTCGTTTCATTAGACACAAATGCAGTGTCCTTTAGTGTGACACTGAGAAAACCCTCTGGGTGTCCTTGCTTTCCGAGTACTGAGCATTGTTAGAAGACATCTATTTATGAGTACTGTTCCTTTATTTTTTTCCAAGGGAAATGATGCCTTTCACTCATCAAAGCTATTTATAATTAGGAGTGACTTGCATGTTGGGAAAGCAATTACAACAGGATGTGACCCGTGTCCACGTTTACAGTTCTCAAAGCAGGGCGGAGAGAAGCTCAAATGAATCAAAACAGTCCTCCCCAGTAACAAGTGCCTGACACCAAAGCTCCATGCTGCACTTCTGCAGAAACTGGGATTGTGGTCAGAGGTCACATGTTACAGTAAACAACTTTAAGAAGCTCATTATGAAAGAAAATGATGACACATCAGTTTCTGAGAACAGCTGACAGCGCACATTTCTCAGCATTTTAGTACAGGATATGTTAATGGGTGCATGTTTTGGACCCATTTAATCATTTTATAATCATTTAATCAGTTTATTAAATTAATAAAAACCATTTGATTGCTAAAAAAGAATTTCCTTAATTAGTGTTATCTAATCTAATATCTAATCATCTATAAAATTAGATTAATTTTAAGGCTTAAATTACATTAAATGCTTGTTTGCAGAGAATACATTTGTTATTTTATATATAATAAATCTGTGATTTATATCTAATCAGTTTATTAAATTAACAAAAGCTTAAATTAAATGAAAGGCTTTTTTTTGAGAATTAATCTGTAATTTATTTATATATATATATATATATATATATATATATATATATATATATATTTTAGATATATGTTATGTAGAATATGAAATTAAATCAGTGTCTGATTTTTAGTTTGATTCCCCTACAACAATTTAAAAAAACTATCCAAAATGTTTACTATGTGCATATGTTTTATCATGAAAGCTTTTGTAAAATCCTGTAGCAAATTTTAGATCGCAAATGTAATTTTATTTATTTTTTTATTATACAGCTCTATGACCTTTAGCCCATATGCACATTGCTGAAGACCGAAAGATGGCTGCCAATCTTCAGACCATTCCTTATTCAAGCACAAGTCATAAAACCAAAAGGCAAAACAAACACGAACACGAACAGTTGTGGGCGACTGACCTTGCCAAACATTTAAGGAAAGACAGCTGGAACAGTAGTCAATGTCGCTTCAACAAAACCCTTTTAACTAGAAAATAGCAGCCTAAGAAACTGGATGGGGACATGGAACATGAGCTTTGTTTATTAAACATTTCCTCATCTTATATTTATTTTTGTATATTAAATAGCGCTAGTTATCCTTTCATAATTGAAAGGAACACTAACACAACAAAAGCGTAATAATTCCCAAGTGAAAATTGATGCTTCGGCACCAAAAGGTGATGGGAATGCTGGGATACGCACCTTTGTCTAAGCTCTTGTTTGTGTCTGGCTATCATCAGTATCATTACAGTGCTAATCTGGGTGTGGTTGGCAGGAAGAGACTCGGCCCAATGTACCCAAAACAAAGACTGGAGCAGCGGACCCAGAGCTTCAGCAACTACAAAGCAGAAATCTGCGGGGTTGACGAGTTTACTGTGAGTTTTCCAAACATTTTCTTCTGTACGCTTAAAAATAAAGGTTTCACAGTCATGTTGTAGAAGAGCCATTTTGTGTTCCCCAAAGAACCTTTCAGTGATAGATCTTAAAAGAACAATTTCTTCTTAGTGTAAAGAACACTTTAGAACCTTTTTCCACTATAAATAACTTTTTGTTTAATGGAAAGGTTCCATGGATGTTAAAGTTTCTTGATGGAACCATAAATGCCATAACCATAAGAATGTATTGAACTAGGAATAGCCTCAGTGAATTCAGAGCATGGATGCTAAGACACAGTTGCACAGTTGGCCATATTATAAGATAAAATTATGGTAAACCAGTATAAATCCTGAAAATAGACAGGGAGAGGAGTCTATTGCAGATGTGAGACAAATGCTGTTCCTCTGAACGGAACCCATGGGATTAAAAGAGAGACATTTCTGGTTTGATAGCTGAGCCAAACCCTCAGAGACAAACAGCACACCAAAGAAAGTCTGCAGCCTGTTGCACTTATTCTCAGTCTTTGCAGTGAGAGGATGAAGTAAAATTATGAATTGAATTTATGCATACATTTTACTTTTCAGACCTCATAAATCTAAAGTGTGTTATTTCTGACATTAGACATGGGTTTCATATCCTGTCTTCCCATCTCTGACCTTTCTTATCCTGACTTTTCAGTGATTCATTTCACATCAGTGATGTATGGAGGCCTGGTGCCACAAAAACAAGGTAACTTTATTTCTTTTAATATTTCAGGATTGTGACTTGTAATTGTGACTCCACAAATGAGACTTCATGTTTTACTATAAACTACCCTTAAGAAAAAATGGGATTGGGAAAATTTGGATTATTATTTCTTTTTAAATAAAATTAATGTTTTTATTACACATAAGTGACATGGACATTGTTAGGAAAAATATTTATTTTAAACAAATGCTGTTCTTTTGAACTTCAAGGAATTCTGAAAAAAAGTATCAGTTTCCACAAAAATATTAAGCAGCGCATCCATTTTTCAACATATAATAATAAGA